TGATAAATCGAGAGAGCATTCTCACAAGTTTGTTTACATTCAAGCGGTGCTTCCCACTGAGAGGAATGGGAGAGAGAGAGAGAGAGAGAGAAAGAAAGACTGGCAAGAAAGGCGATGGGGACGTAACATCTTTCGTGTTCTCGTCTGCGGGAGAAGGGAATGTATTTCACAATGCGTAAACAAGAAATAATAACAAGATATTTATTAGGGGAAAGATGGAAAGAGAAAAAAGAGGGAAGAAGACAGGGAGAGAAAAGAGAGGGGGGGGGGGTCAGAGAAAGAAAAAGAGTATGTGAAAGAAAAACAAAGTCAGAGAAAAAAGAGAATATGTGAAAGAGAGAGCGAGAGAGTAAGTCAGAAAAAGAAAGAGAATACGCGAGAAAGAAAGAGAGAGAGAGAGAGACGAGCAGACAAATAGAGAGAGAGGGAAGAGAAAAAGAAAGCCAACAAGGGGTTTACGCCACCCCTCGCCCCCTAGCACCTCCAATTACGGTTCCATTCACGAGAAATATCTGAAGACAAAGAAGAAAATTGGGAGAAGTGTCTCTCATTATTAACAGCGCTGCCTCTCTCGACACATGTCTTTCCATTTATGGGCCCGGGCGTCAGTAAGGGAAAAAGATGTAGGATTTCGCTGCTGTCTTCCCCACGCCCAGCTGATACAGTGGAGTCTTTCAGATTATATTTCATCGCCACTGTGTTTAAAATGAGAGAAAGAATGGAAGATATCGGAAACAGACCTACAAACACGAGCAGATACACAGTCTATCTCACACACATCTCCCTCTCTCTCTCTCTCTCTCTCATAATTCTACGTATATATATGTATATATATATATATATATATATATATATATATATATATATATATGTATATATATATATATATATATGTATGTATGTGTGTGTGTTTGTGTGTGTGTGTATATATATATATATATTATATATATATATATATATATATATATATATATATATATATATATATATATATATAATGTGCCGTGTGTGTGTGTGTGTGTACGTTACATATATCTTATATCTTTTAAAAAAAAAAGTGTTTCATGGCCAAAGGCCATGAGGTCAGTTTCTCAATCACAATTTATCGCCATTTGATTTCTGAGGCATAACATTGTAAGAGGATTTAGCATTATATAACAAATGTGAAAATACGGAAGGAACTCATTAGAACTACCTACCTATGCTCAATATGGTCTTACTTATATCCCTTTAAACATATTAACCTTTCAACAACCCTAGCGGCATTATGAGAAATAATAAATAATTATTTTACTAGCACACAACAGTATAATTCTGATAAACATCACCCTTAATACTGGAGGTACATATCACAGAGTTCTGCTATACATCGCCTACAAGACGATGTATTTCCAGGGCCAGTTTGCCCTTCACAGTTCAGAACTAATGAAGAGGTGAATCAAAGGCATTAATTTTCCAGTGAAAAATAACGTGATTAAGTAACGTCTCTCCGTTAAGAAAAAAATATTTTCAACTTGCATTGAAAGCATAAAAATCAGTTTTAGGAGAAATATATCCAGGACCCTTAAATATTTAATTCACAGTACTAGTGAAATTCCAGATAGCATTTAGAATAAAAGGAAGCAAGCAATACTGGACCCTGGTGCACACACACACACACACACACACACACACACACACACACACACACACACACACACACACACACACACACACTGAAATCATATGCAGTATACTCTTCGAAACTTCTGCTTAAAAGCTCATCAACAGGGAGTTGCATACATAAACAGCAAATTGAAGTACCAAACGGATCCGGTCCACTATTTCTGAAGAGAGTTCATAGACGTGTTTTTTTTTTTTTTTTTTTTTTTTTTTTTTTTTTTTTGCCGGTTGCAGCAAATATTTTGATGATGTGAGTGTGAGAGAGAGAAATAGGCAGACAGACAGAGCGAGAGAAAGAGATAGACTGGTGAATAGATAGATATTTAAAAAGAGAGTAAGAGAGAGCTTGAGAGAGATAGATGGAGAGAGAGGCAGACACACCACAGACACAGAGCCAGAGAGAGAATTCTATATATGACCACAGATAAACAAAGAAATACTTTAATATATTATACATACATGCAGCATTGCGAGGCATAAGAGGAAAGAGTTACAGACCGTCACTCTTTTAAATTCTTACCCCTCCCTAAAGCAATGGGCTCAAAACAAATTATTGCAATCACAGAATACACAAAAATGCTTTTATTCTATATTTTAAAGAAAGCAATGGTTTGAAAAGCTCTTTCTTAATAACCCGATTGTATGTATATATATATATATATATATATATATATATATATATATATATATATATATATATATAATAATGTAAAATCTGCAAAGGGCATTTCTGGAATTGTTTATTAACTAAACGACTACTTAGTTTTCAGAAGTAAACATCGTCTACTGAGACTGAGGTCGATGGGTCAAAAACTGTTGCTCGGAGAATTGCAACGTT